ACTACTAACTACTGCTACTACTACTACTACTACTACTACCACTACTACTAGAGCAGCAGGCTCAGGTGGCTAGTGCAGACCTATTCAGTCCGATACCCCAGACCCAGGCGGCTCCACGCCAAACATCTGCATATTACTTTTTACGATCAGCTCCGCTGGTCCTTACAATGATAGACCTAGAGCCCTTGTGGTGGGGCTCGCCCTTTCCTTTTCCTGTTGGTCCCTTTCCTTTTCCAGGAACAGCTGCTGTCAGGCGTGTGTCATCTGCGGGAGGCCCTACAAATAGGCAAACCAGAGCCATGGAAAAACTTACACAAGACGTGCCGTGAACTATAAACGATATCAGAACCTGAAGATGCTCCTGCACCCACCTCTACAAGTTCTGCCTGATCTTCATTAAATTTCATTAACAGGAAGCGAGCATGTCTAAAGGTTCAGGGTTTAGGGCTTAGGGTCTAAATGGTGAGACCCTCAGTCAAAAACTTTCACGGCACAGAGACACAGGCCCACGCATTTAGGTAGAGGCGAGGGTGCTGCCCTTTAGTATCAATGGCAGCTGGGCACACTGTTTCTAGCTAGGTCAGTGCAGATTCTCTGTTCGATGGCGCTAGCAATCGATGAGCTCCCCAGCCACGGATTGGGAGACGCCTGTGGTGCAGAGACTTTCGCGAGCGGCTTCGTCTTCTGCGCACTTCAAGACTACATGTAGTATCTCCGTGCCCAACTTCTGAAGGTAACTGAATGGGGTTTAGGAGTTAGGGCTCAAGCTATCCTTGACGCGTGGAACCCCAAACAAAGCTAAGTAACTCCCGATGATTTGCAATGCTCGTGATTTGCACTAGAAGACAAGCATGTCAAGAGCTTGCTAGAAGAAGGGGCGCGAAATAAAACTGTGTACTTATTTTACAAGTCCTCCATGTGCCAACATATGTCCCAACTATTCTTTAAGCCCATCAGACCCAATTGTGATATTATTCATGGACACTGAATTTACTCTATTACTCTACAACAAGAACAACAGGTGGATCCTAATGACACCCACTTCGACAAGAGCCATGAACCTTTGGGTTACCACAATACCAAACCGAATTTCAGAGGTTCAAGGCTCAAGGGCATCACAGGGTTCAGGACCCATCGAAGCACTTGCGGAGCAGAGAGTGTAGGGTTTGGGGACCTCAGCACTTGCAAGTTCAGGATGTGAAGTTTACATTCTGGCTGGCTAGAGCGCAGTGACGAAACCGATGGTGCAACGTTTCTGCTCTGCTACTGTGGGTACCATCACCGGGCTGCAACTTAATGCAGCCTGCTCCGTCCCAACTTGAAACGCGCCCTCGTTCTAAAAGCTGCCTTCAGCTTTGTCTTCCGAGGGCTGAGAAAAAAGGTAGCTAGAAACACTGCACGATGCTTTGACTTCAGATCTTTCGCTTCTGGCGCCTGCCGACGGCAAGCCAGAAGGCCTCTTTCACTGAACCTAGTTCATGGTCGGGGTAGTATTAAAAATTTAAACTTATATTCCTTATTGGGTTTAAGTACCCTTAAAGATGTAAAATGTTACCCAACTATGACAAAGGAACGGAGAGGTTGCCTGCACGATCCATCGGCGTGCCATCCACGAGGTAGCCCACATCCGCGGCGTAGGTCGACGCAGGGAGGGCCGACCCGGGGGTGTGCATATCCGGCTGGATCGTCTCCTCATGGCAAGCAGGATTTCAGGGTTTATCAGGGTTCAGGGTTTCAGCTTGACGGCGTTGGGTTCCTGGGCCTTGGGTTGCTGATTTGTTTTTAGGTTTCTCATGTGGCAAAACAGCTAAACTTCCAGCATTGTTGCTCGGAAGGCATTGCCTTGTATTCCCTCAGCGCCGCGGCGTGCGCACACAGGCGCACACCGACAGGTACACACATAGACAACACGAGACATACGAACCAGATGTAGGGGTCGGAACGCATGCTCAGACAGTAATGTATAGGGGCCTTATAATAGTTAAAATAGGGTTTTGGGTTATATATTATCCCATAATTAAAGTAAGGAAGCCGCAAAACAGTATCGGTAATTCTCGAGGCCCCTATATTACAGTGGTTAGTCCTGTGGTCGTCAACATTCGCGAGGTCTGAGGTTTTGGGCCTTCTTTAAGTCGATTTGCCCTAATTGAGGACCTTCGGAATCAGAATGGGTTTTGGGGTATACGATAATAATATGAATATGTATGTTGCCAGTTAAATGCCCTGTTCCAGCATAGCAGACTTATGTCAGCATAAAGCTGGCCTGAACCACGTACTCAGGCCCTTAGACCCTAGCCGAAACCTCCATGTTTGTGGGTCTTGGAACGCTCCACTCTAGAAGAGCAACGAACGTCCGACGCTAGGTTACAGCGTTTAGAATTTGGGAGTGCAGTGGAGTGTAGTCAGAGGCCCGTTCTTCCGCGACTGGCCACTTCCAAGCCAAGAAGTGTCGTGGTCAGAACTGAAAGTGGCCCTATCTGAGCCTTCTCATGTCGTTTCATGTTTCACACTGTGATGAATCTTCGACTCTGCTCAAACATGCATGGTGACTAGCAATGTCAGGACGTTGGTGGAATGACGCCGGCAGTTTAAAAGCGCGGTCTTTTGAATATGTCGCAAATGAAAGGATCTCATCTTATGAGGCTTGGGGTTTAGTGTACTCCACCACAGCCTTGCTTTTAAACTACCCTGCGTCACGAATACAACTGATTGCAATATGAACCGGAGTCGAAACTGCCATAGAGACCCTAAACCCTAAACCCTGAAACCTAAACCCTGGCGACCTTGTAATTGCTCAAGCCTGGACCCTCAGCCACCCCCACCCTGAACCCGGAATTCATAACCAACTAATGTAAGGGGCCGAAATAATCACCAATGCTATTTTGGGGGATTGCATATTATAATATACGATGATGGGCGCCATAACCCTATTCCAATTTTTAAGGCCCCTATATTAAGCAACTGCCCTGAAGGGGACTTGCAGTTTCTGGGTTTCAGTGCTGGCTAAGTCTCCGGATGGTTCACCGCATTGCCGGCCTTGCACGGGGAAAGTGGCACTTAACCCTAAACCCTAAACCCCGCACGGCGTCATCAGCGTAGGAGATACAGGAGCCTATTAGTCGACGAGGGTTTGGGGGTTTCCATTTTCCATAGCGTCCGACGGCGTCCAAGCCGTTCTAACACTAAGTATTCTGGCCCCTGCATCACTTAGGTGGTGGCTTTTGGGCATAGGAAATCAGGTATTGGGACTCACCTAGGCTTGGGGCTTTTAATCTGGTGGTGGAAATGTCTGTCTTGCTTGGAGACTACTTCGAACTCTTATTCATGATTCCACAGAGGCCCCGGGACAAGTTAATGTTTAGGGTTCGGGGATTACGGTCTGCGTTTAGGAGGTTCAGGGCTTATAAGGGATAAAGCTGTGTTCTGAATTCTGAAGGGTTGTAAACTCTATGTCCCTAAACCCTAAACCCTAAACTATATCTCTCGCACTTGGTGCTGACATCCACATCTCGCAGTCTCATCATCCTATGGTTCAGGCTCGGTCGGTTCTCCTAATTACTTGGGTTTAGGGTCTATGGGTTTAAGGTTTAGAGTTTAGGGTTTATATGCTTTCGGGCACGACTTCGTGGGTTTAGGGGTTTCGGGCTATCCAGCTCCGCCTAGTAGACCCGGAACCCTGAAAACCCAAACATCATATAAGTAGTTTGAACCCGAAACACACAAACATTTACGTGGTAGAAGCTGGACACGGAAATCAACATCTAGAGACAACGTGGCTCGCATGCGCCATAAATGCCTCTGCCTTGAAACCCCAACTCCGCAAATCCTAAATGCTAAAGGCAGCCATACCTGAACCTATTCCCCCCCCGATTCTTACATTTTTCTGGACAGAAACGAAGCAGTACAGATCCCTTGTTACACAACCCTAATATTATACATATATATATATATATATACATGCTAGCCCCCCCCCCCCCTGGACCAACCTTTCACATGAAATCTTATATACTTTCAAAAGTCCAGAATTCACGATACTGTTTTTGAGTTCCAGAAATCTTAGACCTGCCTAAAATTTC